ATTTTGTACTGGCTATATAGAACAAAGAAAAAAACTGTTCGATGAGTGTGCAATAAATATTTACACAATGGATGTGAATTCCATATTTAAAAAGATTATGGAGAATAATATAGCTTTAGCAAAATACTTAAAGAGCACAATTTTTAAAACCACAGAAAGTAATTAATTTATTTTTTTCTTTTATTTTACTAACATTTTATTTTTATCTCTTATGTATTGTATATATTTATGTTCCTTACCATACAAAAACCCTCTGAAGGTTTTTAGTAGTGTAATAAAGTTATTATTATTATTAATATCTAGCATGCTTTAGATTGATTCCCATTTACCTTCACTATTTACGATACCCTTAATATCTAGCATGCTTTAGATTGGTTCCCATTTACCTGTTCTATTTACGATACCCTTAGTCTTCAAAAGTTAAAAAAAAAAAAAAAAAAAAAAAAAAATTGAATTTTCCGACTTGGGGGCAACATACTGGTAAGTTTTTTTTTTGGCCTTATTGTTATACCAAAAAACACTAGCATTAATGAAGCTGAGTTCATGCACATTTTTTTTTTTTTCATAGCTAATGATTGGTTAGTCTGGATAACAACAGGTCGTGAGGATTCTGCATCAACCACAGCTAAAGTTGCATTGTATGCATATGGTAGTAGGAGTTCATCTGATGCTATAGTTCTAGGTAGTGGTAAAGATGGCTACTTCTATGCTGGTAACATTGATAAATTCAAGGTATATTTAATCCCCGTATGTCGCATAGTAGATATAAATCAGACTTTGATTAGCCCCGCTGTCATCGAAGATGACTGAGCCGAGCTCATGAGTTAACAGCACCTACATTGTATTGTCGCACGTTGTCCGTCAACTTTTCTTGAAAACTACAAGCCTGATTGCTTTGATACTTGGTGTATATGTACCTTGGGGACTCTTAGATTTGTTCATTTCATGATGTTTCCTTTAATTCTCTAATTTTGGGTGAATATTTTTGTCTTTTTTGATAAAAAGTGATATTTCAACTTCTTGTTGAAAACCGCAAGTCTGATTGCTTTAGGTACCTCAGGTAGACTTCTCACAGATTTGTTCATTTTGTGTTGATATTTTCAATTCTTCAATTTTGCTGAATATTTTTGTCATTTTTGGCAAAAAATGATATTTTTGAATCCTTGTTGAAAACAGCAAGTCTGATTGCTCTGATACTATACATATTGTTCATTTTTTAATGATATCTTCAGTTTTTTAATTGAACTGTGCATTGCTAACAGTGGAGCTATCTCAGCTGACTGCTTGTTCTTTCAAGTAACTTCTTCTTTAAAACAGTCAGCTGGATTGCTGGGATGGTCCTCTGTCAGATTTCCCATACACTATATATATGGGCTATGTATAATGCATGGGCCCCAGTAGACAACTGTATCAGCTGGAAGCTACAGTAGGTTTTCTCAGCACACTTTGTCTTGGAAAATGAACTGGATGGGCCAATGTTTTCCAGAAATGCTCAAGTTCAGGTCAAGGTCATTTCAAGGTTTATACGTTTTCTGCTTTTATATGGATGATACTGAACATTGAGGGTGGAAGGGACTAAACACCTCCCCAAAATCTTTAAGGCTGGGTCAAGGTCCTCGCAAGGCCCCAGGTCAGGGTCATCTCAAGGTCACATGTTGATTGTATGTGTATTGGGAGACAGGAAGCCATTGTCATTCTCAATTCTGGCATATTTACAGCAACCAAATATTGCAAATTTATAATCTGGTAATAGTGACTTCATGTTTCAGCTTCAATTTTCTGTACACCCAAATAATCAATTTCACATATCCAAACCCTTCCAGTGACCATTGCTGCAATAACTAAGTTGTCATGGACTCCACTTCTCCTATCCACTGAGTAACTGCCACTGCCTTCTTCACCACCACTTGTTTACATGTAACATTATTTTCTCATATACTTGAAGGTGAACATCGGCAACATAGGTGACATGTATAAGATACGCATTGGCCACAATAATATGTATGATGAACCAGCTTGGTTCCTTGAGAAAGTTAGGATGAGAGACATGAACCAGGGGACCATGGTTACAATGAATGTTAACAGATGGTTGTCAAGAGAACACGATGATATGGATGTCTGGCGAGAGCTACCCATGGCTCTTCCCGGGAAAGACCTTCTTCCAGGTAGGTCAATGGTTAGATATATTAACATTTAGCTACATTTAAATCAGAACTCTAAATTGTTGTTATTGTTAATTTTTAACCATGTGTTGCAAAGCACACAGGGGAAATATTGAGTTTGGTGTGTTTATGTAAGAAAATCTCAAAAGCTTTTGAGTGGATTTCGATCAAATTTAGTACATAGGTACCTCGGGGCAATGTACATGATATAATTATCTCATTTCAACCTATGAAAACAAAAACCTCAGAAAAAATGTTGATCAAATGTTCCAAACCAATGCTCCTTTACTGATTTATTTTTTTTTATTGAAAAGCAATGATTGCATATATTCTGTATTCATATAGGAGCTTTGTGGAGTTTAACTTTGTTTTTTACAAGTTTATAATTTGTTCACAGTACTAAAATACTTCATTCAAGTTTTTACTGCTGACCTACCCAAAGCAAACACAAAGTCAACAATTTTTATGAACATCTATGGCAAAAGAGGAGACACTGGTAAGAGAGTTCTCTACAAATCTAAGAACAATGATGAGCAGTTTAATATCAATCAGGTTGACATTTTTGAAATTGAGGCAGTGCATCTTGGTGAACTTAGGAAGGTTGTGATTGGCCATGATGGAAAAACACCTGGTGAAGGATGGTATTTGGATAAGATTATTATCAAGGAATCCCAGGACAGTGATAATGAAGTCTACTTTCCCTGTAAAAAGTAAGATGATTATTCTGTTGTGCTTTTCAAGGTCTGTGAGATAATAGTATGTTACCTAGTATCAGTGACCATGACACTCACAAATTATTCTGATGAACTAATGCACTTTCTGGCAAACCACAGATTAGTAATGGTAAATTGTGTTTCAACTCAATCTAAACTAATTATTGTCTTTGTAGTGATTCTCACAAACCTTGGAATGTGGTCAGACTATACTGTAAGAAACTATATAAAGATTCTCCCTTACAATTTTGCAGTAGATCTAATAACATGTA